GTAGGAGGAAGAGGTGAAGGAAAAGGAAAGGAAGAAGAAAAAGAGCTAGAATGTGAAGGAGCCACATAAGGAAGAGAGAGAAGACAAACAAAAGGCAAGAGCTAGTCCATCCAAATCTAGGCCATTGATTTTAAAATTATCACAAGAAGGCCTTGAGGGTGTTGGATGGAGTATGTGATGGAGGCCAGGAAGGAAGGAACCTAGGGGGTTTGGAATGAGCTGATAGAGCAATTAGGAGGTAAATACAGAATTAAATAGTAAAGCTGCAACTTCTTCTCAACCACCTCCAATCCTCAGACTTATTTATCAGTTGTACATATTAGTGTTTCAAGGCAGGGTTTTTAACTTGAAAACCTGAAGCACCAATCTCGGTCCATCTCAGTAGATGTGGGAGAAGCAGGAAGCACAGTGTAGAGAAGGGACTGTCACAGCACTGCACCTTAGACAGATGAGAGTGGAGGGATGCAGAAGGAACACTTGCCCTCTGACTCTAGATCACCTTCTCCCCGCACTGGGACCCTGCTTCTTTCCAGATGATCCTCACCCATGAAAAGGTGACATACTCAGATCCAGCACTCAGTTCCTTCTGCCTGCTCATTTGAAACATTAGCTGTCCTTCTTGATTGACTTCCCTGATTTGACCAGTTTCACTCCTATTATTCTAATTTCCATTGTGTCTCCAAATCTACCTCTTAGATTTCGATTTAAAGGCAATACACAAGAGCAGTTAAAATGCACTGGCTTTTAACCTTAAACTAGCCATTTCTCTAAGTCCCTATTGCCTCAGCTAAATAACGGGACAAATAACTACACCAATCTCATAGGATTATTTTAAATCTTTAAGATTTATTTATTTATTTATTTGTCAGAGAGAGAGAGGGAGAGAGAGCAAGCACAGGCAGACAGAATGGCAGGCAGAGGCAGAGGGAGAAGCAGGCTCCCTGATGAGCAAGGAGCCCGATGCGGGACTCGATCCCAGGATGCTGGGAGCATGACCTGAGCCGAAGGCAGCTGCCCAACCAACTGAGCCACCCAGGCGTCCCGGATTATTTTAAATCTTAAATGAGATAACACACACGCCAAATGTAGCACAGTCTAGCACGTAGTAAGTGCATAATATATGGTTAAATTTCTTATTGTACCTTTCCCTTCTTACAGCCATTAAACTATACCTGGATTACTGCCCAGCCGTGGCACTGGCTTCCTTCTTTCCCTCCAGCTCACTGACCCAGAACGTCTTTAATCTGGTCCTGCACAAATTTAATTCTACTACTCATCTCCAACCTTCTGATGGCTCATCTTTCTCTTCCGTGTGGCACCTTAAATCCATTGGGGGAAGAAATACCTAATACTGTCGGATTTTTTTCTCATTTCATATTTATGTTTTTCCACATTAGTTCTATCCTGCCTTCCCTAGCATGGAGCCATGGTCATCATCTTACAAGGTCTCAAGTTCTCCCTCCTTGCAGGAAGGCTAGGAGAAATAAAGACATGGCCTCCAGCCTAAACAGATGACTTTTTGTCTTCTCAAGCTTCACCTTTCACCTCCAAAGGATCCTCCCTCTATAATTCATGGCTCATTATGCAACTTAAAAATTTCTATGTAAACAGCTGCCCAAACCTGAGCAACCCGTCCATGCCTGATCATTTGATCTCACTTTTCCTCACCTTTTAAAATCCAAAGAACTTTATTTCCACCAATCTTTTATCTGCTTTATATTTGGATACACCCTGAGGATTAATATCTCAGCCCCACCCCTGAGAAATTAATCTGACATTTTGCCTACTAGCCAAAGCCTCCATAAACAATTGTTCATATACTACTACTAAGTCCACATGTATTCTGAACTTTGACCTCTAAACTCTTAACTACCCATACCTTGTGTAGTCTATCAGAACCTTCTTGAATACTTGACTCTCTTCTGAGCCTACGGCCATCTTTATGGCTCCCCTCCAGTCTCTGATGTACATACTCCCTATCCAGAAAGTCGCTTTTTTTTTTTTCATTTCTTAGTCGGTGTCATAATATATTTGGGGAGAGATATTCAGCATGGTACTGACTGAGCCTGCAAAAGTCTAGGGCTAATTTTGTCTAGTGGCCATTAGTTTTCATATCCATTGTTGACTATCTGACATTCTTTCTTTGATGTCTGTACCAAGCCTCTCCAGCCTTCTCCAGCTTCCAGACCAACCCAATTTTTCTATTGCAAAAGGCAACCCCAGAACTTAACAGCCAGAGCCAACCTTACAATGTTGACTTGTAACTTTAAAGATACAGGTTATGCTCTGGATGTTTTAATTTTCTTTTCTGTAACACAGAAATAATATTTACATCCCAGAATGGCTTTGAGTATTGAATGAGATTATATATAGAGAGATAGATATATAGATATAGATATAGATATAGATATAGATATAGATATAGATATAGATAGATATAGATATATCATACCATATCTCTCTCTCTATATATATATGATAATATGATCTGCAGGACAAATTATAGTTTTCTTCCAGTTACAATTTTCTATAATGTTGTAATTAGCCACCCTTCACCATGTATCTTAAATTCATTCTTCTTCCCTTTGGCTGTAAGACAGGTTCAATCTGTCCTAGACCTTCCTGAAGACTTAGCTTCTTTCACTCCCCTCCTCTTTTTAACTATCAAATATCTGGAAAAATTATTATGCTATTCTCTACTTCATTCTAATTTCCCTTTGAACACAACCCCATTCCCCTTTGCTAAATACATTTTCAAACTGCAACAAAGACACCTCTTCTTAAAAAAAAAAAAAAAGACACCTCTTCTTGAAACATAATGGCTTTTTCTCAATATTCATTGTCTTCAAACTATCATAGCAAACAATAAAACTTATAATGAATTCTCTTTATTATGGCATTTACTTCTCTTCTTTTCCATTACTGAACTCAGCATAGTCTCCCCTATTAATTAGTATCATGACCTTGTGAAGATTACTTGATCCTCTGAGTCTCAGCTTACTCACTGGTAAAATTAGGGTAATAAAAATTCCTTCCTCAATGAGCTGTCCTGAAGATCACATTCCATATTCTAGCTACTATGTATGAAGCTCTAATTACAATCTTGGCACTCTGATACACACACACACACACAAACACACGAGTGTGTGTTTGTGTGTGTGTGTGTGTGTGTGTGTGTGTGTGTGTGTATGTATGTATGTAATGGCATTCACTATTCAAAGCTATTTTGGGCAGTAAATATATTTTCTATGTTACAAATGAGGAAATCTAAACATCTAGAGCTTAACCTGTATACTTAAAGTCATAGAGTCAACAATTATTAAAAGCAAGAGTTCCAAATAAGACCTTCTGGACTCAATGCCTGTATTAACCACTACATTATATTCCTTCCCAAACAGATGTAGAAGTCAAAATTTTAGGAAGCCATGCAATGTCACTTATTATTATCTTATTATCCTTGCAGATGCTGTGTTTCAGAATGTACTAAAATAAAGCCACCAAACAAAAGACTGGTAGAACAGAGTCCATTGCCTTCCTCCAGGTTTTTGTACATATGGCCTCACACCCAACAAACAAAAAATAGCTAATTGGACAATTGTGTTTGGACATAGTTTACAATCTAATGTCAGCAAACCATAGCAGAGAACTTTGACTGATCATTAATAATAATTACAATCATGGGGCACCTGGGTGGCTCAGCGGGTTAAGCCTCCGCCTTCGGCTCAGGTCATGGTCTCAAGGTCCGGGGATCAAGCCCTACATCAGGATCTCTGCTCAGCGGGGAATCTGCTTCCCTCCCCTCCCCCGCTCTCTCTCTCTCTGCCTGCCTCTCTTCCTGCTTGTGATCTCTGTCTGTCAAATAAACAAATAAATAAAACTTTAAAAATCTTGGAAAAAAATTACAATCACAGTAACAATGACACACTGCATTTTAAAACGGATTTTCATGTAGGTAACTCCAGTTCTGTAAATTCTATTGTGGTTAGCAATAGGTCCCACTTGACAGGGCATGAATTTAAGGCTCTGAGGTGGTCTCTGTACTGTTCAGCAACTATTTTCCAGTTCTCTCCCTTCTGATCTTCAAGACACAAGATAAGATCACACTGTAACCTCTATGGTTGAGCCAGGTCACTTGACGGTGAGGGAAAATGACAGTAGTGTCACTTCTGAGGGGAATGTATAATTGCTGAAAATGGAAATTCTCAAGAACACATTTTTACTTCGCCTTGACAATGAACAATATTCCAAAACTACTCGGCCCACTTGGGATGCACTGAAGGCAGTATGGCACCATCTGCTGACAACTCGATGTGGATAGCTTGAGGAAAAAACAAACATATTAAGTCAGAGTAATCTTGAGGTTATATATTAGCACGGCATAACCAGGTCTCTCTGACTAACACAGGCTCACGGAACATAAATGACTTACCCAAGTTCACACAGCTAGAAAATGTCAATGCCCTTCTCCAAGTCTCATAAATGCTAAGGTCACTATTCCTCCCACCAGGTCCCAGTTTGCTTCATGCGTTCATTGCTTCAAAAATAAACAGTATTTCCCCAGGAGGCAGAATATAAACTTAAGTGTGATCTGCCTAATTTGAGTCTAATATTCTTTATTTGGTGAAAAAAAAAGTTTGACGTCTTTACTTATTTCATAAATAGGCCAAGTGGCCTATAGTTCATTTCTTCTACTGCTTGAAGTTGAGAATTCTAAATAACAGTCCCCACCTCTGGTGCAGGCAGGAAAATACTTCTCACCTCAAATAATCAATTTCTCGGTCAAACAATAAGTAGCAATTAAGTGACAAGAACCGCAACACCACCCAGGGTGTGACAGTGTGTTTTGAGAGCCTCTCAGAGCCAACACTGACTCTGGATGACATCACAGGAAAGGTGGAGAAACCAAGCACTGCCATATACACCTGACCCCTTTCATAGGGTCTGGCTGACGCAGCTGGTGTGACAGCCCTGACAGCCTCTGCATCACAGCCATCTCTACCATGAAGACCATCGGGGGGCTCCTTCTGCTCTGCACAATGACTCAGTTCTTCAGTAACCCAGGTGAGTTAAGGGCAGAGAGTGCCCTGTGTAGCCATTAAACTTGTCTTCCCAAATAACCCCTTCTCAGCATTAGAGGGAAATGTCTGGTCGTATGGACTTAAAGGGTACTGGCTTACAATACAATAAGCCCTGACCTAAGAAGGGGGACACTTACGTACCAACAGGTGCTGGGGAGTGTTGGGTCCAGTGTTTTCCCTTTCAAGGATTTTTATTCTCATCCATGGAGCCATAGATAAAAAAGAACTAATTTCTTCATAAGTCTACCATTCCATAAGGTCACTGGAAGTGGTTGTGTTATTAGATACTATTCCTCAGTGCAATGATATGGAAAAACTTGGATGTCTCTCCAAATTAATCCAGGAGAATCGAAATAAAACACAATTCTCCAAAGCCCAGGAGTCAACAATTAGAATTTTATATGGTGAAAATTATTTAAATAAATTAAGATTCTTACACCTTAAGGACATTCCATCCAATCTTTGTATCAATTCAGAGGGGGAGAATTTCAAAGATGGTGGCACTTCAGGCTCTTAGGAGGGGTGCCTGCAATGCTATCTATTGTTATCTGACTTTGAATCATTATTAAAGACATGATAAGCTCCAGAAAATTCCCCATAGTCAATAAAGGGAAGAAACTGGTTAACTCTCCTGCCTTTGGCTTACCTTATTGGCCATTTGGCTTCTTCCGCAAACAGCTAGAGTTTTATATAAGAACAGAATGTGTGCTGATGCAAATACAAAGTCTCAATACATAGGCCCAAATTAACATTAATTAATGAGACTTCAAGACGTTGCTTCATTTTTTACATTTCCATCTGTAACTCTCTTTCAGAAGCGGCTAGTCTGCCTTTAACAACAGTGAGTATATTGAATTAGATTCTAATTTCAATTCCTATTGACTGTCATTTAGTCAACAAATCTTTTTGAAATATATATGTAGAATTAATAAATAATATGTGGAATTAACCCAAACCCAGGGTGTTTGGGGAGGGGGCAAAGGAGGAGGTGGGCACAGATTAAAAAATCTCCTCTGGGGGTGCCTGAGTGGCTCTTAAAAGCCTCTGCCTTTGGCTCAGGTCATGATCCCGGGGTCCTGGGATCGAGCCTCACATTGGGCTCTCTGCTCGGCAGGGAGCCTGCCTCCTCCTCCTCTCTCTCTCTGCCTGCCTCTCTGCCTACTTGTGATCTGTCTGTCAAATAAATAAAAATCTTAAAAAAAAAAAATCTCCTCTGCTTTCCAGAAGGCAGTTGAAGAAATAAGACATACATATAAGTAACTGTAGACCAAAAAAAAAAAAAAAAAATCTCAAGTTAAAGGAGACAGAGATGACTTCCAGCTGAGAGGTTGGTAAAGTCTTCATGAAAAGGACAAGTGAGAGGCAGGACAGAGTTATCATGGTTAATTGCATGGGCTCTGAATTTAAATCCCAACCCCACCACCAACTAGCTTTTACATTATGCAAGTTCTCTGTTTTTAAGCCTTAATTTCCCCCCTCTATAAAAAGGTGTAATAGTAGAACCTGCCCTATTCAGTTGTTATGAAGATTAAACAAAGAAAATTCATGTATGATTTAAGCTTAATGCCTAGCATGGAAGTGCTCAGGAATTATTAACAGAGTATGCTAGTAGTGACAGAGGTGGGGACAGCAGTACTAGTATTTGTCATGGTCATGATATTATTAGTAGAAGTAGCCACAGCGGCATCAGAACATCTCATCTGGGACTCCTAGGGTGGTATTTTGCTTCCTGCCCAACAGAGGCCAGCATAGACTAGGACATTCTCTTGTGCCCATAGCAGGTGGACTGCAGCATTTACAAGAAGTACCCAGTGGTGGCCATCCCCTGCCCCATCACATACCTGCCCGTTTGTGGTTCTGACTACATCACCTATGGGAATGAATGCCACCTATGCATTGAGAACTTGTGAGTACCTCATGGGAAGAAAAAGAAGTTGTGGCCAGTGTCCTTCACTGAAAACCTCTCCTCTATGAGCCTGTTTCACTCTCTATAAACTGAGCTTATTCCAGAAACAGCTGGGAGGGAGAGAAAACTGTCTGTCTCACAGTCAGGCTAGGTTTGGGCCACCTGCTCTGCCAGCTTGAACTAGTCCCATCCATCACCCACCGGCCAAATCCTGTCTCAATTGAGGGAGTCCAGTAAGACAAGGACCCCAGAGGTTCTGGAGAGGCAAGGGGGCTAAGGGGATCATTTGGGGGTGATCTCCAATCCCAAATTCAGCTTTTGGCTATTTTAGGTAGTGGGGTTCTCCACAGTATTTTGTTAGAAGAAAAGATCTTGAACCCCATACTAAATAATCACTGAAAACCACTATCCTACATGATTTCTAAGATACTTGTGGCCATAATGCTTGATTCTTAGACAAACTGTGGCTAGAGAGCCTTTATCCTTCTCACATTCTTAGGGGCTCTAAACAACTCTAGCCTCGGGGAGGAAGAGGAGAAGGCTACTCTGAATTTTTTTCTCTTAACTAAAACAAGGGATGCAAGCTGTCTGTGCTTAGACCTGGGTTCCATGGGCATGTTTTGCTTAGGTATTTTTGTTTGGTCTGTGCAGCATTTTTGAAGGCAATATAACTAGGTAGTTGTCACTTCTTTAATGCAGAACAGGCACCTTAGCATTTCTTACCTTACACTAAGTCCATTTTGTTCATTGTTAAGTCTCCTTTAGACCACTGGATTTTGGCTACCCATCTTTGGTCTTGTATTTTTCATCTTTGTGATTATCTAAACAAGTTAGAATATCAGTTTAGGCCCTGAGCTCAGAAGGATATGTCTGCATCTTTATTTCTATTTAGGAACAGGGAAAATTCACAAAAGGGAAGATGCTCTAACATGCACACACATTGGGCCTTGGCCTAGAAGCTGGCTCATGTTCAGCGACACTGAAGGGAACATGTGGTAGATGTTTTCACGAATGCAGGACCCAGCTTCATCACAGGCCTTGCTGGCCAGGAAAGGCTGAGGGGCGGGCAGGCTGCCTCAGCTTCCCGTGTCAGAAGTCCTCCTCCTTTGTTACTATAAGGCATTGGTTGATGGGCCCAGGTTCTGGGATCCCTGGAGGCAGTAGGTAGGGTGGAAGTATCACTGGACTAGAGAGACTCAGCTTCTGTCTCTGTCAGAAAGTGTCTGTGGCAAGGACCTTCCTTTTCAGGGATTCAGTTTCTTCATCTATAACATGAAGCTCTGCCTCATAATTTCTATGGTTCTTTTTTGGCTCTGACATTATATAATATTTCCTCTTGTTTAATGAATTTTGTTATGTGTTTTCTCATAGGAAAAGTAATGGAAAAGTTCAGTTTCTTCATGAAGGAAGTTGTTAACTTCTCCACAGATATGGGTACAGAGCGATGATATCTTCACCGTCATCATCCTTGGCTCTGACTGTCTCATCTTGACCAGTGCTTTGGGCAGTGCTCTCTTTTTTGAGTGAAGAAAGTCGTGGTCTTCCTCAAACTCATGCCTTACTGACTTTCAGGCTTCTTTTTGTACCTCAATAAAAGAATTTCCCCAGCGAGTTTATCTTTACTTCTGCTTATATTAGTTACTTAGATCAGGATATAATATCTCAGTTGAAAAATAGAACTGAGGAACATATAAATCTTCTTTAGGAGAAAATTTTGTATGAAGAATACCAAGTGACTTCCAAGAGACACATGCACACACACATACAAACACATCAGTGAACACCTTACTCTTTCCTGGAGTCTTTACTTTCCTTAATCAGTACCTGCCACTGGGAACTAGTCTATGAACCATACTGATCCTTTATACTAGTCTCTTTTCCAAAGCTCCTTGGAGGAGCACTTCCTTCATTATAAGAAGTCAACCCTGGGGGCGCCTGGGTGGCTCAGTGGGTTAAAGCCTCTGCCTTTGGCTCAGGTCATGATTCCAGGGTCCTGGGATCAAGCCCCGCATTGGGCTCTCTGCTCGGCGGGGAGCCTGCTTCCCTGCTCCCTCTCTCTACCTGCCTCTCTGCCTACTTGTGATCTCTGTCAAATAAATAAAAAAATAAATAAAATCTTTAAAAAAAAAAAGAAGTCAACCCTGGAGGGAAGATTTTCCTGCCCATTTCTTTTCATGAGCATTCCATAATTTCTCTTTTCTTGTCTCTCACCTTGCTAACCTCCTGCTGTAGCCTTAATAGAACATCTCTGGCACTGACTACTGCATTGGTTGACCTAACACTTCCCTTCCATAACTGTAAAATGCAGATACCACTATGTACCAAGACAAAATTGAAATTATTGGTAAATTGTACATTTGTTTTAAATACAGATATCTATAATTCATTCTTAGTGATGAAGCTGGAGTTCCTTCTATAGAGGATGCTTATGTGACCACAACATGTTGAGGAAGTCTTTAGTGATGGGCATAGCTCACAAGAAATTAGTGATCCAGATTAGGCCTTGGTGTATTTTCATGGTCCTTACTTTCTCCTCCCCATGTTCACTTCTTCCCTCACTTGTTCCAGAACTATTCGTGGCCCAGAGATTGAAAAAGGATAGCCCTGTCCACCAACAGGCTGCCCTAAAGATACAAAGAGGTCTGTGGAAATCTTATCTCCTCATGGACTCAAGAAGACAGAGGGAGGTGTGCCTGGGTGACTCAGTCAGTTAAGTGTCTGCCTTTGGCTTAGGTCATGATCCCAGGGTCAATGTAGGATCAAGCCCTACATTGGGCTTTCTGCTCAGCGGGGAGCCTGCTTTTCCCTCTCCCCCCCACTCGTGATCTCTCCACTCTCTATATCAGATAAATAAATAAAATCTAAAAAAAAAAAGAAAAAAGAAGAAGAGAGAGGGAACCCATAGCTAGGGTAACTTCATAAAAGTGGTATAAAAACACTTATAAATAGTTGGATCATGGCTACATTTATATTCTGCTGCTAAAGTGTTATATAATCATGTAAGTACAGACTCTGTCCCCATGATCATGACACACCTAACATGGTCTGGATGATTGGGATAAAATATGGGTCTGAATCAGAGTCAAATTCAAAGTCAAGTTCAAAGTCAAGGTCAAGCCAGAACATGGTCAAGTCAACTACGGAAACTGTGAAGAAGAGCAAGGATAGGGAAGTATCTTAGACAAACAGAGCTGCTTAAGTAAAAGTAGCAGATAGGGAGAAGTTGTGATCTGGACGGTGAAGGGCTTGGAATAGGTGGTCAAATGGTCTTGCTGGCTTAGCCCTTTTGAGTTGCTTGCCACCTTCAGCAGCTCTCACTTCCCAGTTGCAAGCTCTCCCCACTACTGGTGTGATCCTCTCCTGAGTATCTCATACCTGCTCATGTGTGTGGAGCCTCCCCTCGCCTGAATTGTGCACAACCCCACAAGTTTCTCAGTTTGCTGTGTTCTTCTCATCATGCCAATTCCTCCTACCTTCTTAGATCTTCAGCTTCTCTTGTCTTTATTTTTCCTGGTCTTGTTCTATCCCTCCACCTGACACTGTTTGCCCTATCTTAAACAAACACCTGCATTTTCCCAGTACTCTTCATTAATCTTTCTTATATATTTTCAGTTATTTCTACCTTCTTAGGAACCTGATTTCCATATTGCTCCACTTGCCTCACCCCTTTCTCCTCTGCTGTCTTCAAACGTTTGGCTACCTCAGTCCTTCTCATTCTTCCTCTGACCTCACTCACATTTCCTCAGCAGAACTGAATCCCCAGAAGCTCATTTATTTGTACACAAAATCCCTCTTTCTCCTCATAGCTGGATTGTGATAAAGACCATGGCATGGGCATACCCCTACACTGTGAGCTCATCCTCACCCCCATGTATGGTACAGATGGAAAAACCTACAAAAATCCCTGCTGACTGTGCATGAAGATCAGTGGAACCGTGGTACAAAATGTGGGCAAAGTACACACCTATATAAGAATTCCCGGTCATCATGGATGAAAGAGAGCCAGTTAACAGCCTCATTTTATGGACAGAAACTCTGAGCTACCCACATTGGAAATGCCTCATTGCTCACATGGAAGATGAGGACAAGAACCTGTATCTGCTACTCCTAATCCAGGGCCCAAAAAAGTGTTTCCAGAATTTCATCCATCATATCTCAATACCCTCAGGAATCAAACTCCTTCTATTATGAAATGACCCAGTATATAACATCTATAAAACACTTATAGTTCACAAAAGACTTTCATATTCGTTGTCTCATTTAATCCTCACACAGAGTCCATCAGCCTAGCTTCTCAGGTGAGATAAAAAGTTCCCAAAGGGAAATGATGGGCAGAATTGCAGAACTGTAAATTCTGCTGGCTCTGAGTCTAGCGAGCATTGGTTCTACACACCACACTGCATAAAGACAATGAGGAGACATCTGGCTTCACTGCAGACCTGAACAGCCTCAGGTCTTTGGTCCATATTGTATCCAAGGCAGGTACAAGCTGTTGATGACATTGCCCCTTTTCTTCCAACACTTACCACAACTCATCGCCTAGATTTCTGATCTTTCTGATCTTTCTGAAATTGAAGTCTAGATTTGGTCTCCAATTGATATATTCCCAAAACCCTTTTAATATTTATAAATGATGTTTAAAAATAGTTATTGTTCTTTAAATTTTGGAATCAACCTATGGTTGAACTGTAGAAGAATGAATTATGGCATATGGAACAGAATGTGCATATTTTTAATGTCTGAAATGTAAAAGTAAACATAGAGGTGTAAAATCTTTAGAAAGAAAAGTTGACTGTGGGAAATGTATGGAGGCAGGTAAGTTTCTTGTAGGGTTATGAGATGTTGCCTAAGAATGAGAATAATAGAAAGTGACTAAGATATATTATTTAAAGTTATAAAGGTAGTACACAGAATTTTTGAAAAATCATGATATACTCATCAAAATTTTGGAAGAACTAAAAGTGGGAAGGTAATATAAATTAACAACTTTCCCCCAAAATGGTAGTCAATTCTCATATGGTGTCACTTACTTATGGAACATAAGGAATAACATGGAGGACATTAGGAGAAGGAAAGGAAAAGTGAAGGGGGTAAATTGGAGAGGGAGATGAACCATGAGAGACTACGGACTCCAAGAAACAAACTGAGGGTTTTAGAGCGGGAGTGGGGTGGGGTGCGGGAATGGGTGAGCCTGGTCGTGGGTATTAAGGAGGGCATGTATTGCATGGAGCACTGGGTGTTATATGTAAACAATGAACATTACATCAAAAACTAATGATGTACTGTATGCTGACTAACATAACACAATGAAAAAAATTTAAAAAAATGGTGGCCAATCAACCAATCAATCAATAAATGGTAGAATCTTCTTTATTCTAAGAAATTAGGTATAAGTATACCACTGAGAATTGTGATGGTAACAACCTTAGAAGAGAAATGATTAAAATTAGCTCCCACTGAAGCGATATTGGCAATGAAAGACTTTTGGTTTTCATTGTAAGCTTTTAACATCAATGGAAAACACAAAACATATAAACAATATATATATGTGTGTGTGTGTGTGTGTGTGTGTGTGTATACACACACATATATATACACACACACACATATATATATCTCTCTTACTATGTCGTATGTATTTCTTTCTTTTCTTTTCCTCTGCCAAGAAGAGTATATCTTTGCCCCAGGGAAGCTCTTAAACTACCATAAATGTAAATGTAAAGTAGGTGTATTTTTATATTTTTACCTCTCTAAGTTTAGGCCTTGGAGAACAAAATGACTTTATTCAGTTTTACTCACTTAGCTATATACCGATCAGCATTTGCATCACTGAGGTCTTTGGTATATTCGTCATCATTGTCTTCATTATAAAACTCCACCAAGCAGCTCAGGAGAACACAACAAAACTTGGAACAGGAAACTTGTATGCTTATGCCAGCCTGGACATCACCAGGTGTGTGGCTGTAGGTTGGTCATTTATGTGTGCAGTATCTCTTTCCTTATTGACAAAATCAAGAGAATAATAATCCCTAGTTTAACCTGTGCATTGTGAGAGTCAGATGATATATGCATGTGAACATGCTTTGTAAACTGTAAAGTCCTATGGAAATGAAAGTGTTGATTAAGATCTGTATGCTCATGCTCCTCCAACACTTACCCAGGCCTGAACATATAGACTACATTCTTGGAAATATGTTTGGTATTTTAAAGAAAAGGCTCATGATCAGTAAATGCTGTGGAGTTTTTTTCTTGGTTTGGGATATGGGAACATTTCAGTTCCTTAGAAATTGATCCTAGAAAGTGAAAAGGCAAATGTACAATTTGACCTATAAGATTACATGAATTTACTTATATAGTTTGCCCCATTTGAACATGGCCTCACTTAATACCATGAGTAAAACTGTGATGAAAAATGAG